CAAGCTCTAGGACAGCACCTGGCACACACCGGGTGTTCAGTCAACATTTTTTTTTTTTTTTTTTGGTGAGGACAGTTGTCCCTGAGCTAACATCTGTGCCCATCTTCCTCTATTTTGTATGTGGGGCGCCCCCACAGCGTGGCTTGACCAGCGGTGTGTTGGTCTGCACCCGGGATCTGAACCCAGGAACCGGTCCACCCCAGCAGAGCGGGGGAAACAACCACTATGCCTCCAGCCGGCCCCCGGTCAACATTTTTTAAATGAATGAGTCCATTCTAAGGACTGACAGCAACCTTGCAGTTTTCTTCCTTGAGGAGGTAAGTCCCCTTCATCTCCAAGCTGGTGGCCTCCAGAAGTTTGCCTTGCATTCAGTTGGGAGAACGGGGATGCCAGCGTGGCCCTGTCAGGCTCACAGCATGCCACCAGCAGGACGCTGGACCGGCTGCAGGCCCTGTCCTCCCACAGGGCCACAGGAAAGCTCCAAGGACATGAAACGCCCCTCCACACCCAGACCTGCCGGTGGCGCAGAGCCCAGCTGAGGGAGCCACCAGCACAGGGCCCAGAGGCTCCTGCTCAGCTGTGCATGTCCCTTCACTGCGGAACAGTAGCCATCCCCGGCCTGTCTTCTCTCGACTGCCATTTCCGCCCTGCTCTGTCCAGGCTCTGAACTCCAGCCACTGCACTGACCATGGTGGTAGAAGAGCCTTGCTCCCAGGCGGTCCTCGGAGCAGCAGCAGCCTCTGGGAGCTGGTGAGGAATGCAGAGTCCCAGGCCCCAGCCCGGCACCGCTGACCCAGAATATGCATGTGAAACAGGATCCCTTGGTGAATTATCTGCACGCTAGGTTTGAAAAGTACTAGGTTGGAGTAGATAATCTTCACTCAGAAAACGATCATGTTAGTTTTCTGCCTGTTGCCCTAACAATTATCACAAATTTAGTGGCTTCAGGCAATAGTCAGTGATTCTCTCCCATTTCTGTGGTCTGCAGTCTGGGCCCAGGGTGGCTCCACCGGGTCCTCCAACTCGGGGCTCAGGAGACTGCAGGCCCCGTGTTGGCTGGGAGGGCTCTCCTCTGGAGGCCTGGGGAAGATGCAGCTTCCAGACTCGCTGGCTGTTGGCAGAATCCATCTCCTCCTCCTGTTTTCCACATGGCCCCCCTCATCTCCAATACAGCAAGTGTCCAGTCCTTCTCATGCTTCGGATCTGGCTTCTACTCCTGCTTCAGCCTCCCGTGATTACATCGGCCCCCTGGATATCCAGGATAACCTCCCTATTTTGAGGTCAACTGATCAGTAATCTTAATTTCATCTGCAAAGTCCCTGTTGCCACATGATGTAACATAACCACAGGTGTGACACCAGAAGGCAAAGATCATGGGGGCCAAAATTCTGCCTACCACAAGGATTTCATCAGCAATATGTCCAAATGGGGATGAACCATTAGATTAGAAGTGTCCTGAGTTTTGGTTGTCTCTTATCAGTTAGCACTGCCCACCCTCCACTCTGCCATAGAGTCTCTCAACACATCTCAATTCTCTCCCAGCCCAGGAGACCTCTTATCAGAGGGTGCACGTTAATTCTGCAAAAAGTCCATCCCATTCCACACTTATCCCCCACTGTTCTCAGCCACCCAGAGGGAGGGATCACAAGGAACAAGGCTAATGCCAAAAATATGCAACCCATGCCTGCCATTTCACGTCACCCCTCACTCTCCCTTGTCTCCTGCATCAGAGTCCTGGGACTCTGACCCACAGGACAGGAGAACTGGAAGTGTAAGGGTCGGCAGGAGGCCCTGGAGCTCAACACCACCCCAGGTTCATCTGAGGCCTGTAGCCCAGCCTCCTGGTTTTCTCAGGGTCTCTTGCCCAGGCAGATGGCTACCAGCGGGACTGTACACTCTTCCAATTCCAGACTCATCTTTGAGTGGACAGAGTGGTCATGTCTTCAAACAAATCCAGAATGACAGCCCATCAACTAGCTGGTGGGTCACTAGTCAAATCTCATTTGTTCCATGAAGGCCCTTCAGAAGTTATCCCAAGGCCATGCAAACAATCTGAGAAGACTGATTTAGCAGATATCCTCTCATCAATTCATGTTTTATTTGTTCTTCACACTTAAATACCAGTCCCTACCAGTCTTGGCTCCCAAGTGAATTTTGATGATTTCTCAAAAGCAAGTCCATCCTCAATGGACAAATCCTGCCAGTTGTGACAATGGTCAAAGACTGTGTGTGTGCTCCAGGCTCCTGAAAGCAAACCCAAAATCATCCCTTAAAAGTCCTGAAGGCTGAAACATGGAGCCTGTTGTTGAAGGATAACAGTCGCTGGGATGTGAGGACATTGGGTTGTTTGTTCCAAAACCACACACACCGTTTTCTCGTCACGCCTGATGTGTCCCTGCATCCCAGAGCATGACCGAAGCCTCCCTTCCTGAGCAGCGGCCCCCACTGGAGGCTCATCCTAGTGAGGAGCCCATGCAGACACACGGCTCAAAGCCCTCTTTCGACGTGGAAACCAGTGCATCTGGAAAACTGAAATCCACTGAGCAAACTCTTCAGTCTTCTTGAAACTCTAACTTGACAACTTTACTAAAGCAAGAAAAGCCAAGAGAAATGAAAAACAAACTCCACATGGACCGACTTCCAAATTCACGTATTTGCAACCCCCTCCTTCCACACAAAGCTGCAGGTGAACAGGAAAGACCGTCAACCCCTTCTTTCACCACTCCCCTGAGTGAGGAAGAGTCACAGCCCCAACACCGCAGCAAAACTGCAGCCACACACAAGGCTTCCAGAAAGACTCCTGGAGGGAAACACTCCTGAAAACCCCATCACCTCAAGAGGAGAGTGAGCCCCTGGAAACTCGCCTTTATAAACACCCACCACATGCTGGCACTGCATGTCCATTTTCTCATCCAATCCTTGCAGCCCTGAAAGCTGGCATGACCCTCATCCTACAGTAAGAAAACTGCAGCTCCAAAGTTAAGTAAACTGCCTACGATTCCTAAGCAATCAAATATAAACCAGCATCTAAAGCCAATTCTCCCTCCCTCTCCAAAGTGAACGATCATGGATTCCATGTGAATTTGATCTCCTCCAGCAGACTCTGTATAGAACCCGGGAAGTCCTCCTCACAGGCTGCACCTTCAGTGATGGACGGCCCTATTACATTTGGATTTTGTGAAGAGGGCCAACTAGCCTTTCTTATCTCACTACCGCATGCACGGGGAAAATTATCACCGAGAAAGGACAGCCGAGCTGGTTACAGGATGAACCATACAAGTTCTAGGTAGAGAGATTATCGTCTACAGCAAACCCTACTGAGAGCCACTCTATGACACAGTGTGAGGCTGAAAGCCTGTGTGCCCCAAGTGGGACAGATGGAGCTACACGTCAATTTGTCACTTACCACCCACTTAGGTGATCAAAATGAAATAGAGTTCCTGTATAACAAAGTTCCAAGTACAAAATAGCTTGGAGAGCTAAGGAAGTAACCCACAATTTTCTTTGAGGAATATAACCTACCTGCTGAATTTTAAATATCAGCTAAAGTCAACTGATAGTTGAATCTCCTCCGTCCACTGATCAAACTAGTGCCAGATCCATGGCCGAGGATGCAAAGCTGGTCGTCTTCAGTCCTCTGGCCTCTTGTTACTCACTGTGGTCTATGAATGAGCACCAGAGGCCTTACTTAGGAGGTTGTTGGATATACAGAACCTCTGCTGCGGACTCGGAATCTGCACGTTAACAAGGCTTCCTTCATTCCTGGTCAAACTCTGCATCTGTCCCATACAGAGCCAGCGCCTTCTCACCCTTCTCTCCACAAACACTGCCTGTCTCTTGGGACCTTTTCACAAAATAAGTTTCAGGGAGGAGAGGGACCTTTGGAATAATCCAGTCCTCCCCCACCCCCACAGCTCCTTGCACTTAACTGCCGTTAGTGTAATTACCAAACCATATCCTGTCTGGAGCCCATTCCCTCCTAGTTTAAGATCCTCAAGAGACCACGTCTTTTCATCTCTATATCCTGAGTCTGGCAAATCATCACCTGGCACACAGCATGCCTGTGGTAAATAGTTGTTAAACTCCCCTAATTTCAATAGAAAACAGAGCTAGGAAGTTTTGGGTAGGTCAACTAAGGTCACACGGCAGTACTGAGCTCAGTTATGCCCAAAGTTCTGAACCAAGGAGGCACAAACACAATTTAGTGACTCGTGTGTATGTCTCATTTTTATTTCTCTCCAAAACCCAGTCCTCCAATTTGGATATCTCAATTCTTATGTATGAGAACTAGCTTTTATCTAAGCTCATTACAACACAAATTCTATCCATATTATAGTTCAAAAGACACAGCAACACAAATTTAATCAAAAAATAATATGGATTTCACACGAGCCAAAGTTGACAGCTGCTGAGGATCTGTTCACACTGGGCCAACTAACGTGACATCCTGGCTGCAGCCCATGACTCTCCTCTGGCATCACAGCGTTTTCTTGTTTTACACTCAAAAGAGGGTAGACAGGAAAACCAAAGCCCAGAAAAGGTTTGCTTTAGGAACAACTTCAAGAATGATTTTCTTCAGTTGCAAAGACGACTTCTAAAATGAATGCCTGTTATCACTAAGATCTTAGTGACAGTGCAACAAGCAGAGGTCCCAACAGGGCTGAGTGCTCACTACCAAAGCACAAAGGCTGCACCTGGGCCCCGAGGCCCATCCTGTTCTCCCAACGGTCACCCCTGAGCCAGCTGGGTTGGGTCCCCCTCGTCCTGGCTTGCACCAACACAAAGAAAACCTCAAGAATACGAGCAACAACAAAAAAGAGGCTTCAAAAAAACCGCAGATCATAAAGGAAGCACACCTTTATGAATAGAGGAGAAAGAAGCTCACATTAGGAAAAAGAATCATAGCCAACACCTGAGGCTGAAGGAAGCTCTTCATGACTAATCAGAGAATGCGAAGGAAAACTCTAGTGTTTGGTCCGAAGCCTTGAATAAGTTCCAAGTTTTTATATTTCACCATTTATATATTTTATTAGAGTCCACAGTCTGCTAAATAAAAGCAGTAACAAGATATTTCACAAACTATTGTACAATTTAAATCTTACGAATTTAATTTCATAAAAAATTAAGTAGATATTCATATCGGCTAACCTAAAAATGCTATGCTTCATCTATGGTCTAAACTACTTTAATCTATAAGAGATACAGTTCCAGCATTAAAAATAATCCCATTGCTATTTTTTTTACATGTTTTACAACAAAAAGTTTATGCTCTTACTCAAAGAGATCCACAGACTAATCCGTCATGTAAAAAATAATTTTACAAAAAAATCCAAGACATTTTAAATCCACTTTTATTTTCTTCTTTCCTCCTCACATACAGAACTTCTCCACACACCACATTTCTTGCAGCTATAAAGTCACTTATCTTGGTCAGGTACCATTTATTATCCCTAAAACTTTGCTGGCATCAAAATATGACAGTTAACCAGTGTTAAATCTATAAAATATTTACATAGCACAGCACATTAAGCTTTAGACACTTGGTAAATAAACCACATAAAAATACAACAAGCCCCTTCCCCATTCTACATGATCAGAATCAGGTGTTCACGGTCCCTATCTGGTGAGTGTACACTGGTTCGAAAGGCAGCAGAGGCAACAGGCAGTTACTTCAGGGCACAATGAACACTATGATCTGGAAGCACGTTATGATGTTACCCCAGTGTCATGTACCACCCCACCTTTCTCCAAGGTGGTCTCATAATTCTAGAATGGCAGGTCCAGCTGATACAAAATGACGACAGACAACACAACATTTACTCTGTGGAGATATCCTAATGCCTACTATGCATGCATTGTGATTTTGAAAACAACTCGTCCTAAAAACTTGTCACGATCATCCTGGTTTCTTAGATTGGGTGATCCATCAATCTTGCACTCGACTGTTACTTCTTTTCCAGTACTGGTAGTATTAAAGGCCACCTGGACAGCAACTAATGGCTGGAGATACCTCACCTGGCAAATAAAGGAAAATACATTAATTCAAATTCTATAGTAACTTCATCTACACTTTTTCAGAATTTGGTTTATTCTCTAAAATTTAAAAAAAAACCAACCAGACTTTAATCTATTAATTAGATCTATTATTTTTAACTCTTTCTTTTTTGAAGCTAGATATTCATTTATTTTCACTTTATTGTTTGATAAATACATATAAGATCTACCTCTTACTGATTATGTTACTTAGGTGTCCTATAGCCTTGCTTATGTTGCTGTGTAACTTGGTGCAAATATGATTGTTTTACTATCATGGTGGTTTCTAAATACAATTCTTCACTCAAAGAAACTAGGGGCTGATTCCAAGGATGGGGCAGGGAAAGTATAAGATGAACCTGGAATATCTTGTGGTGCCAGAAAGAAAGTGCTCAAAGAATCATGGGAGCATGTCAAAAGGACACAGGAGCCAGCCTGAAGGTCTCCCACCTGCCAAATCTGGGACAATTTTAGCACCAAAATAAATAATGATTATAACAGATTACAACCCCTGAATCTATGAATATAGAATCCACGAATAACAATCCATGAGAATATACTGATATAAATAAATAAATGGTAGAGAAGGAAAAGCTCTTCCTTAGAGCAGAATGCCAACTAGTAAATGGGATAGGAGAGATGGAATTAGAAAAATATTTGGGAACCACCCTATTACTAACTGACTCAGGCAAGAATCAATAAATGCTAAAGCTATGGGAAAAACAGAATTTTATAATCTCAAAGTAGTCTCCCTACATGAGACATACTGATTACAAAGGAAAAAGAGTAACTTTACAGTGGAGAAACCTGTCTGACCAAGTGTTTACAGTTACCATCACAGGACCGGTCAACACCACGTCCCTCCTGATGAGCTATTCTGAAAAGGCCCTAACATTTCTTCTGAGGCATTCCTGCCAAAAACGGACAACCTACATTTAACCATGAAAAACAGGAGACAAACTCAAATTGAGGAACATAAACAAGAAGAGTACAAGGGCATGAAACAGACAGGGTGAGGAACTGTTCCAGTGCCAGGTGACTGAAGAGGTAACAATGTGATATCCTGAACCAGGAAAACACTTCTTCTTTCTGATAAAGGACATTACTGGAATAAATGGTGAAATTTCAACAAAGTCTGCAGATTGGATAATAGTACTATATCAATGCTAATTTCCTTTGACAACTATATTATGATTATATGATGATGTCCTTATTTTTAGGAAGTAACGTTCAAGCATTTAGTGTAAAGAAGCACCATGTTTATAACTCAGTCCCAAATGGATCAGGAAAAAATTATCTATCAATGGAGACTGATAACATAAATGAAGTAGGGGCCAGCCAGTTGGCGTAGTGGTTGGGTTCGCATGCTCCACTTCGGTGGCCCAGGGTTTGCAGGTTTGGATCCCGGCTGTGGACCTAGCATGGCTTATCAAGCCATGCTGTGGGGGCATCCCACATAATATAGAGGAATATTGGCACAGATGTTGGCTCAGTGACAATTTTCCGTAAGCAAAAAAAAAAGACTGGCAATAGATGTTAGTTTAGGGCCAATCTTCCTCACAAAAAAAAAGACAAATGAGATAAAATATTAACATTTGGGAAATCCTGGTAAAAGGTCTACAGGAATTCTTTGTACTATTCTAGCCACTTTAAGTTTGAAATAATTTCAAAATAAAAAGTTTTAAAAGTATATATATATAGTATGGTCCTAATTTTATAAAATGATTTATTTACATACATATACTTAAAAGTTATGGAAGAAATTACCCTACGACATAGTTATCTCTGGGTAACAAGCTTTTTGATTTATTTACTACTTCTCTACATTCTCTAAACAAGCACATTCTAAATAATGAAAAAAACAAAAATGGTATTTTGGAACTAATCATCCTTTAACTTATCTGCCTGAATTTTGTGTTCTGAATTGTAGATGTGAGATCTCCTTTTGCCATCACCATTTGTATTTAAAAACCAGAACAGATGATGCACAAGTTACACAAGGTATGTGTCTACCACCTGAGACAAGTGACATTTTAATACAGATGTGCCAATTTCCCAAGAGTCACAACCACTTAAGAACTTCTAAATACTTACATGCAGTTTTTTCCCATAATATGGAAAATATTTTAAGTCTATAGTTCCATTAGATGGATAAGTTGATAGAGTGGCTGTCTTTTCACCCTGAAGTTGAAAGCAGAAGAAACCCTTTTTAGATCACAAAAAGCAATTTTAAAAAATGTATTTATATTAAACAGTATCAATTATGAACAGTATGGGGAAACTACCGTGCTGCTCCAGTTGCATTAATCACAAGCTTCTTTTTGAGAAGAGAACTTGCTCATCTTGATTTAAACCCTCTGACATGAACTATCCCGATTCTTCTTACACTTCCTGGTGTACTCTGTATCCTTTTCCAAGAGTCCCTTCTAGCTTATAACCAGATCTACTCATGCACTGTCTGTAAAATCATCTCTGCCTTCCAACCACTAAATGCCAGTTCTCCGGCCACTGACAGGCATGCACCCGTGGGTATGGGACCAATGGATCCCTAAATGAATAAAATACTTTGCTTCCAGACTGGAAGGACTGGCTGCCATAACCTAGAGTGGAGCACTCGGGCCTGGGAGGCGGCAGGTCCAAAAGTCTCATGTGATTCATAACCATGATAACTGCAAGCAGAGGGGGAAACGATGATGCAAGTGACAAAAACTACTAGGGAAAAATTTAAGGTACTCCTTAACCAATTTAAATACCACATTTCCCTTGAATAAATTTATGAGCACATGTAAAGCAATTAAAAGTGTTATGAGTCTATTGGAATTACATTCCATGTATTTAAAAAACTGATAGGGGTGGGCCTGTGATGGAGTGGTTGAGTTTGCGCGCTCTGCTTCAGTGGCCCAGCGTTTCACCGGTTGGAATCCTGGGCGTGGACATGGCACCGCTCATCAGGCCATGTTGAGGCGGTGTCCCACACGCCACAACTAGAAGGACCCACAACTAAAAATAGACAACTATGTACTGGGGGGCTTTGGGAGAAAAAGGAAAAATAAAATCTTAAAAAAAACCACAAAAAACAAAAAAACCCTGATAAACATACAAATCTAATCATCATCTATAATCCAATTCATTCATGCTATTAGTTATTTGTAGTATTCTTAATAAGCGATTTATGAAAATTCTTATGTAACACATTCCAAATAGGCCTGATTTTAATAACTATAACTTTAACGCATACTAGATAACAAATAGACAACCATTATAACCAGTGGCAAGTTTACTAAGCACTAATTAAAGTAAAATATGACTAAATGCTTGAATTCTAGATTTGAATAAAGTAATTTCTATTTTTGAAAGCACACACGAAACAACTATAGCAAAACTAAAAATCTCCTCTAAGAAGTCCTACTCTGTGTATTCCACGTGACTTCCATGAGCAGCACGTGTGCGTGGGGTGAGATGGAGAATGCACGGAGAAGACAGCACAACCAGAGTGACGACGCCCCACAAGGAGGACAAGTTCTAATGACGCAGATCAGATATGTGGAAAGAGCAGGAGACAGCAAGGCTAAGAGAAACTGCAGAAGCCATTTTTCAACCACTAATCAAACACCACTCCACATTTGTACTGCTTAATTAAGAAAAAAAGGAGTTTTAACTCTAAAACAGCATTTTATATTGGAGAAAAAACCAATCACTTGGATCTAAGTGCTTTTCTGCATCAAATTGCTTTTTTTCACCTATTTTTCCTTACTATATGAGCTTAATTCACAGAAACACAGAGATGTTCCCCAAAGGGTAAAAGAAAGATTTCTTCGGGCTACAGTTTATTGAGAACGTTCAGTGTGTATTTCCACCCAGATACCATATTTAATTTATATTTGCCTCATTTATGTCTAACAACCCTTAAGTGGGTGGGATCAATTACAAAGAGGGGAACTGAAGCTGAATTAATGTCACAAGCTCAAGGTCACCCACATGTAACAGACACTTCACTGTTCTCTTGGTTTGTACCTAAGCCATAATGTTGGCAGTCTTTTATTTAAACTTGTATTTTATACCTTCCATGAAATAAACATTTACAAACTGTGAAATATCAAGAAATGCGTATCTGGATAAAGATGAGACACTTCAGAGTGAAGCACACGTGGATTTTGTTTCTTTTATACAATCATCACCCATAAAGGTGATGTTCTAAGCAGTGGTTCTCTCTGGGTAGCATTTACCAATTTTTCTCTTCTGCATTTTTCCACATTTTCATAAATGAATATGATTCATTTTTTAAGAAAATAAAATACCAAAAATCTAGTGACACATATGAATATTACATCTTTTGCAGGAACCATCCTTTAAATTAATATAAATTAAAGGCTACCACTAAGAGCATGTTGTGTCACCAATGCTTCAGCATTTTCAGGACTCTTAACTTGCATAAAAGCCATTAAAGCAGACCAAACTTAAGAGTAAAAGATAAATGTATTACATAAAAAATAAGTCAACTAAAGAATTTAAAGAACGCTTGATAGAGACAAATCTAATGGAAAACAGCAATTATGATGACGTAGTAAATGTTCTCATCTGTTCTCCAGAGCCACACCTTTACAGCTACGGCCTCCATCTGATCACTCCTTTGTGACTAGCCTCGGAGTAAAATGCAAAGCTTTACCAACAGTTTTTCTGACACACAATTTTGTGTTTTTCTAATAACAAAAAATATTCCACAACTAAATAAACAAAACAAAAACCCCATCTACTTCCCCATCTACTTTGATTATTTTATGTGCTTTACATGTAACTCTTCAAAGCAAAAGGGACAGCAAACTGAAATGTGAGTCATCAGACAAGGATTTTTCATTAACACTTCCCCCAACTATTCTAGAGGAAAGGATACATAATGGATAAACAATGAGAAACTCCGTTTAAAACCATAAGGAAGAACTACATGAAGTTATTTGTACTGGCCAAAGGTGTTCAAACTTGAAACCTTAGGAAAGGGTCAAGCTGTTGCCCTTCTGGCCTAAGTGTGTGTGTTTTCCTTTCCCGGTGGTGTTGGCTCCACAGCCCCAGCATTCCGAGCTCATCTAGGCAGTGCGCTCACAGACAAAGGCGGAAGCTCCTGCATGCAGGTCCACTGCCATGGAATCAGCACGTCTACCCAGCTGAAGGCCAGCACCCAGGCCTCAGGAACTTTCTATTGGAAAGACTTGCAACCAAGGAGGATCACAAAGAGTCCACTCAACAGTTCTTCTAAATGTATCTTGTAGCCATCATGTTTCTTTTGTCTTAAGAGAAGACACTATACACTCACAGTCAGATTTTTAGAAGAATCTGTTTATCAAGAAAAGCTCGGCTTAGCTGTAGCATCTGGTTTAAAGTGAGATTCTGGCTTTTTATCCAAGTTTCCTACTAAGCTGCCCAGGACTTAAGGAGATAAAATGAACTATGGTCACACGTGTGTATTTCAACCACACGTTGAGGAGAAACCACAAACTTTCTGGCTTATTATTCTACTGCAAATAGTGAATAAGTACTCAAAAGAAATTAATAAGGATACTCTAAAGCAGAAGTTCTCCAGGTGTGGGCCCCAGACCAGCAGCCTCACCATCACCTGGAAACTTTTGTTAGAAATGCAAATTTTGGGCTTCCCTGCAGACCTACTGAGCCAGAAACGGTGGGAAGGGGACCCGACAAGTTCTCCAAGTGATTCTAATGCAAGATCGATTTTGAGAACCACCGAGCATGAAGTTTCTGCCCAAGTAAGAAATCTATTCATGGTTAAAGGAATTACAATTTTTTTCACAAACAACCTTAGAAGTGATTTTAATGTAACATTTTAAGTGAAATACCTCTGACATATACTTGGAGTTAGAACATTAATATTCTGCACATTAAATTCTTTAAAATTTAGAACTTCACAGTTTCTCCTCAGAACTCTTACCCATCATTTATATATTTGTCTTAGTTGCACATGCAGCATGGAGAGAAAACAAAAGAAGTTATGAGATGAAAACTGTACAGCACTTTGGAAAAAAATAAAGATGGGAGAGAAAAAGAATGTCTACAGGAAAATGCACCATGTTTCACTAAATCTCATATGCCATTAATGTACACCAATTTATGTACTATTAAGAAAAGAAAAACTCATGATACACTATCAAGACACACTATTTACAAGGCCAATCCCAATTGCAGTGTTAAGCTAGAAAAAAAAGTGACTCTTAAAATCAATGAAATATGGTATACGTAAATGTAAAGGCAATGTGTGTGAAACCAAATGCACGTGGAAAACAAGTATTTTTGAATTATCATGAGCAACAGAGAAGGGCGAACCCCAGAGTTTGGTGTAATTTTATTCTTCTAAGAATGACACTACAGAGGACTTTAAAAATGTGACAGGGAAGAAAAACAGATGACTAAAACTCACTAGACTTTTACAGCAATTTTAAGATACGCTAAAGCTTTCACAAAGTTGGGTCCGTTTTTGAATACTCACCTTCGAAATACAATTTATCCTCGGTTTTCCTTGAGGTTTTAATCCAATTATCTAAGGTGAAGAAATACAGATTACTCGAAACATCACAAATGTATACAACATAACCCTCTCCTCTGTTGCTGGGGACCAGGTGGGAGGGCTGGGATGAACACTGACTCCATATTAAAATCCCAATACATCTGTCTTTTACTTTAATTTTATTTTAGAGGATTAGAACAGACTTTTCAATATAATAATATTACCAATTAGCTATTTTATTACTGTACTGGGACAATTTAGAAGATAAATCAGTTACCAAAGAACTGACCAAAACCCAGTATCACACTCTGCTACCCTTAAAACAAGAAGTGAACAGAAACCTTTAAATTTCATTATTTATATGAACAAATCATTAATGGAAATAAGAAGAACCGCAGAGGCATAATAATAATAAACTGTTCTTCATGAAAATATATTAGGTCACAATCCCTAACATGTGTTTCCATAGGGTTTCCACAGAGCCGTACCATATTTCACATCTATCTGTTCCACAAAACGCAGACACTGGGAAGAATTCCATTTTAAGACGCTCACAGCAACATTCAGCTCTATGTCATGAGGCTACTTCCATGGATGTGATTAATTAAACTAACTCTGTGTGAACGGTAACATATTTCTCCACCTATTTCTGAGAGGATTTTCCGGTGTTTTGAATTTATATGCATTTTACATGTGAATGTCTGTAAACTGTAACTATTTCTCCCAAAAGACAAGCATTGTTGCAACCTAAATAACAGTATCCACAGCAATTAACTGCCCTTGCCCATGTAATGACTGGAACAAATTACACTGGGGGTGAATCCCTGCCACGCCCGGTCTGCACACCTCGTTACTGACCCCTGTGTGCACCTGACCCTTCCTTTCTGTTGCACCCTGCAGGGCCACACCCCTATCGGCAAGTGGAATCTCAGACCCTCACCGTTCACACAGGACATATCACAAAAGAAAGTAAACTCAGAGGCTAGTCCTGTGGGAGAGAGAACTAGAACAACTCCTCTTGGCTTTGTTTCGGGATTGGATTTTCCAGCATGCAGATGCTGTGAAGCTACTTCTAGGAGGCTGGGGTTACACAAGGCAGCCCTGTAAAGTGAAGACATGTAATTCATCTGACAAGATAAATTAGCTCGTTTCACATTACTTATGGCCTTAATTCTTACTAAAGTCTTGCTGAAACACCTGACTAACCATTTACTGAGCGCCTACTACGTGTCAGGCAATGTTGGAGAATGATTTCTAGATTGCTATGGGATCATCAGGAAAAAAAATCACTGGCCTTGCGGGGGGGGAAGGAAGGAGAGGCTGGAGGGGAGCCAGTCCGGGCGCCTCAGGGTCCAGCTGGCTCTCTCCCTACAGGGAAACGCCTTATCTAGCAGTGCCAACATCGGAAGACTCAACTTTTACTTTTATTGGGGATGGCAGTAGCAATGTGCTTATCAATGGTGATTTCAGTGATACGTGGACTCGTGATCTTGAGCAGTCTACACCTGTTTAAGAAACTGCCTTTTTTCTAAGTAAATCACCAGTAATAACCTCACTCTCAAAGGAGACCTCGCAGGCCTCAACAGGATAAGTGCATCAGGACAGAGCTCTGCACTACGACACTTAGACAGCAGCAAGGCACAGGGGCTAAGGATCACTGTCCCTAGCATCTTCCTTTGCACAAGGACCCCATGCCATTATTACTAATGCAGGGAGAACATTAGCTCCTTAATTCGCTAACGGCCATACAATTCAGGCACCTCTTCTGTAAAACAGAGTAAAATGCTGCTACTTTGGCTACAACTGCAACATCCCACTGAGCTCATTCCAATGCCATTTTATTTGCATTTCTACTATTTAATTATTTATATTATTAAACTAGGTTTTGCTACTAAATATTCAGAAGAAGTTAAATAAGCCAAAACTTTATAAAGTTGCCATGGAATTTTAAATTATTTTATGACGTAGGACTCTAAGATGAGCACTGTGCACTAATAAGGCCACGCTTTGGGCATGACAACCAGAACACCTGCTCCTTGAAGCAGGAATCTTCCGTAAACGCACGCAGCTACGTCCAAAAGGGAAAAGCTGAAGCTGTTTTACTCCAATCATTAATCTATGATAAATTTATGAACCAATCTTGTTTTACTCTGTATTAATTTTCCAAAGGTCAATTAATATCACTGCTAGCCTTCTATGTGAGCTACCTGCAAATGAGATAACATCTAATAAATAGTTGCCTACTTCTTAATAGATGATATTAGAAAAAAGCAGTGGCAGAAGTAAAATATGTACATACCCTGTTCATTTTCACAAGAATACAAGGGTTTCCTGTGGAGTAGCCAAACTCGGGGTCCTCCACACCACTGCATCCTTTAAGGGAAACGACAGGAAACTGGCACGCAGTATAAGTCGGCCCCTTCTGTTCACGAAGGGCTCCATCGGGACAGGCTGTGAGATTCTTCTGTTCTTCTAAATCGTATGCTAAAAAGGAAATGTGTATGTGTGCAGAGATCAGCCAAAAAAGATCTTTAAGACAATCAGGAATAGATCATCCTTTGATCAACATTCTCCAAAGACAAAAACAGCAATGCTAATTACCAGACAATTTTTTCAGAAAGAATATTAAGTTTGTTCCTTTAACTTTTAACACCTATCTAGTGCTCTTGAGTTTACTGCATTTCAACAGTGATATAAACTAGATTACAGATCATTCTCTTCTGTCACCATCAGGTGGCGTCAGCCACGGCTATGGCATTATCTGCATGCCCTCCATGCTCTCGCCCCGTAGCTCCAACAGTGAGGACCCGAAGAGGCGCTGCTGCTGCTGCCGTGCAGGGCTGACAGCGGAGCAGGAACATCGGCGGTCGAGTCTACGATCCTCACTGCAGGGCCTGGCGATACTCGATACTCGGCGCTCCAGCAGCCCGGGCCGAGGGGACTGCAGCAGAGCCGAGTGATGAGGGGGACATGGGAGTTACTGCCGGCAGAGATGGAGGTGTAACCAGACAGTTGCCAAAGTGATAAAGAGTGAAATGGTTACAACTTGGCGGAGGGGAAGAAAGGAGAGGGAGAAACACACTACGGTTTCCGAGTGTTTGCTCCTCATTGGCCCAGGGTCAGGTTAAATCGGGACAATAGTGAGCACGCCCTCAACAGGTTCACTCACGAGAAAGACACTAGCCAACGGCTAAGACACGGTGGGACAGTGCCTTGGTAAGAGCACTGGTGTGTGGGTGGAACTGGTACCGGAAAAGGGCTGCCTAAAGTGAATTCAACCAAAACAGGAACCAGATTTCAAAGTAAATGCATTTAAAAGGAAGCGTGGATCTTCACCTTGAGAAAAATATTCAGTCAAAATTTTTGGTTTCATTTTATATTCAGCAAAAATTAGGATATCATGGGAACTATGTACTCATTTAAAAGAATGGTTCAGGCATTTTTAGGGGTAAACTTTTTCAACAAAACAGTACCATACAACATTTTTCACTTCCTTTTTGACTTTGGTGGCACAATCACAAAAATCATTTTGCAAGAAATATTCAAGGCCTTCACCAATTTTCCCAAGGGGTTCTACTGCATATACTCTGTTGGTCTAGGCCAGTTCATCAGTGACCATTTCTGTATTACGCCAACTTCCACTTCTACGCAATATCATGGTAAGTACCAAGAATCAGAACACGAATGGTCAGATGATGAAGACCCCCTGTCCAGAGCATCATGGGAATACAGAAAGGTCACCCATCTCAGACAGGGTGACCAAAGAACCCCACACACCTGAGGAAAGACAGAAAAGGAAAAAGACAGGGCAAGATTAACAGAAAAAAAGACCCAAAAGGAAAGACACATCGTGAACAAAACAAACTTTAAATTCTAATTAGTATCCACCATAGGAAAAAAACAGAGAAGATGTATCTTTTAACCAGAGACTATATCTTTTACACACGAGAAAGGTATTCCTAAAAATCAACAATGACAACTGAAAGTCAAAAGAAAAACAGTTGAACATTAAAGAATTAAAGTAAACCTCCCCAGAAAGTACAATAAAGTAAAAAGAGAAAATGAGAAAAAAATAAGAGATCTAAGCTCTAGAAAGAGAAAAGGAAAACGGAGTTGACAAAATTATCAACATAGTAACAAGATAATTTCCCTGAACTGGAGAACCTAAGTCTTCATCCTCAGAAACCCCATCTAGTTCCCAGTCAAGTGACATTTTAGAAACTGAAACTAAGAAACAGAAATTTTAGAACCCATAGGAAACACATTTAAAAACCAAAAACCAACCTTGCAGAGGAGAAAAAGGCAAATACAAAGGAATGAAAATTTTATATACAGCTAAACTATCAACTACAAAAACAGAATTAGGTCATTTTCAGAAATGAAAGGACTCAAAATTTACATTTCATGTATATTTTCTTATAAAGTTACTTGAGAATATACTCCATCAAAACTAGGGAGTTAATAAAGAAAAAAGTCAGAAGCCTAGGGGCTGGCCTGGTGGTGTAGTGGTTAAGTTCACACGCTCAACTTTGGTGCCCGAGGGTTCACAGGTTCAGATCCCAGGCATGGACCTGGCACTGCTTGTCAAGCCACACTGTGGCGGTGTCCCACATAAAAGAGAGGAAGATTGCCACAGATGTCAGCTCAGTGACAATCTTCCTCAAGCAAAAAGAGGAAGATTGGCGAGAGATGTTAGCTCAGAGCCAATCTTCCTCAAAATAAAATTAAACAAACAAATAAATAAAAGAAAAAAGTCAGGAACCAAGAAACAGTGAATCCAACTAAAGAAAGTGATGAAGAGAAGCTTCAAGCCAGCCCTGATGGCCTAGTGGGTAAAGTCAAGCGCTCTCACCACATCGGTGGCCCAGGTTAGTTTCCTGGTCACAAAACCACACCACCCGTCTGTCAGTAGCCATGCTGTGGTGGCAGCTCACACAGAAGAACTAGAAAGATTTACAAGTAGGATATTCAGCCAGGTACTGGGGCTTTGGGAAGGAGGCGAAAAAAGTCTCAAAATGGGAGCTGGGTGGTAAAGGCCTAAGAAGTGACCAGTACAGACTACAGCTGGAGGGAAGAGCTCTAGGAAGGAGTTTCCCACAAAAAAGGGACAAGAGAATACTTCAAACGATAGTATACAAATAAGGGAGTCAGAAGAGTGTGTCTATAAATGAGACTAGGGATAAAAAGGCCACCAATACTGAAACAAAAAATAGTTAATTCAATTACTATTGAACTGAGAAGGGGGTAAAGTCTGAGGCATGAGAGCTAAATCCTCATCTATTGGGGCAGGAAGTAAAGCCAATGTATAAAAGTGCTAAGTCAAGAACCAGCAGAAAAGTATAATATCTAGAGATACAGAAGAAAAACACCATAAGAAAAACTTCAAAAGCACAATGTGATTTCCTATTGAAAATGTATCCAGAATCAGACTATTTCTCACAGCCTCCCTTGCCAAGCTGCCATTCTACTCATCTGGATGACTGTAACAGCCTCCCCACTAGCTCTCCCTACACCCCATAGTCTAAAGAAGGTGGCCCTCAAAAAACATGTTGAATAAATTAACAGGACTGCAGATAGAAAGGAGGAGGGCAGAAAACTACTGTTTTCCTTATAGACTTTTCTTTACTATTTTTTTTTAAAAGATTGGCACCTGAGCTAACATCTGTTGCCAATCTTTTAAATCTTTTTTCTTCTTCTTCTTCTCCCCATAGCCCCCCAGTATCCAGTTGTGTATTCTAGTTGTAGGTCCTTCTGGCTGTGACATGGGATGCTGCCTCATCATGGCCTGATGAGCGGTGCCATGTCCCAGGCTGCCAAAGCGGAACACATGCACTCAACTACTTGGCCACGGACTGGCCCCTTTACTATTTGATTGTTAAACCAAGGATTATACGTTCACAAATCATCTTTAAATTATTTAAATAATAAGTATATATAAACTATTAAGGGAAAGAGCCTTAGGAAGATAGCTAGTAGATGATGTAGGATCAAAAGAGGTTTCTTGGTTTTGTTTTGGCCCTGATTGGCCCTGAACTAACATCTGTGCCAATCGTCCTCTATTTCATGTGGGATGCTGCCACAGTGTGGCTTGATGTGAGTGCTAGGTCTGTGCCCGGGATTGGAACCTGTGAACCTGGGTCCACCGAAGTGGAGCGCACAAACTTAACTACTACACCACCAGGCCAGCCCCCAAACAGGTTTCTGATTGAAGACAGGAGGGAACTGAGAATTTCCACCTGCTGACAGGAAGGATCCAGTAAAGAGAGAGACTACTTCTTTCCTAGGTGGCTGTCAAAGATGGTGGAGGGGCAGGTCCTGGTTCTAGATGGCTGAGGCCTTCTCTGGGGCCACGTGGCAGTCACTGTACCCAAGCAAGGGCTGCTGGACCAGAGGTGGTGGTTGTGCAATGTGAGGGCACCAACATTTCTGGCAATTTCTACAGAAACAAGTTGAAGCACCTGGCTTTCCTCCAAAAGCAGATGGACACAACCCATCCCGTGGCTCCTACCACTTCCGAGGCCCCAGCTGTATCTCTTGGCGAACCATGCGAGGCACACTGCCCCACAGGCACAAGTGAGGTCACACGGCCCAGGACCTCCCCAAGGTACCTGATGGCATCCCACCACCCTACAACAAGAAAGAGCGAATGGTGGCTCCCACTGCCCTCAAGGTTGTATGTCTGAAGCCTGCACGAAAGCCTGCCTCCCTGGGGCACCTGGCTCTTGAGGTGGGCTGGAAGCACCAGGCAGTTACAGCCACTCAGAGGAGAAGAGGAAGGAGGAGGCCAAGATCCATTACCAGAAGAAATAACAGCTCATCAGACCATGGAAACAGGCTGAAGAGAACATGGAGAGGAAAACTGACAAATACAGAGGTCAAGATCCACGGACTCCTGGTCTGAACCCAATAAAATTAAGTGCTAATTCCTCAAAATAAAAAAAAATAAAAAGAGAGGGAGAGCCTAAATATACATGAGAAGGGGTAGTCAATAGCGTGATGTTCCCGAGACAGTGAGAGGGGACGAGCACCAAAGCACAGAGGCACAGGTGGCCTGAGATGAAAGAAGGGCAGCCCCCCATCACAAACAAAATGGCTGTAACCATAGGTTTGTTTACTGGTAACAGGGAAACCAGGGAAGTTCCCATACGAATGCGTTTATTTATATCTTTTGAAGCAGGACACCAGGTTATATGAAGTAAGTGAGCTACAGGGGAAAAGGTCAGGGTTTAGAAGTTTGAGGGTGGAAATACTCCCTTCCAAGAACTATCCAGAGAAATTCAGCAGGACTGCTGGGCAGGAGAGCAGGTCCCTTCGAGGGAGGTGATAGGCACTCATGGAGCGAGTCAGTCCTGCTGCAAGTCTTCCTTCAGCAGCACCCAGCTGATGGGGGGGGGGGGGGGGCAGGTTCCCAGCAGGAGCTTCATCCATTTGCAAGTTTACGACAGAGACTGAGAGGCAAGGGATTTTAGAGTGCTGGCAAGAGTGAAAATGAAATGGAAACCGTGGAAGTAATACGCTTGCTAAGAAGGGAAGTTAGGGGCGAGGGCTTGGATAAGATGAAAGGGTCAGGGAACCGGAAGTCCCGATGAAGTGGAAGAATAGTGAGGGAAAGTCAAACAAGCAAATTAGAGGGACAGAAGGTTGTGCAAGGAAAGGCTCGAACAATGAGTTTGGCAATGGAGGCCTACGCGTTCTCAGGAGCAAGTGCAGGTACAGGTACGTGTGGCTGAGGAAGCAGTGAGGAAGTGATCAAAAACCAGAGGTCAGCACACTGGACGATCATTCCTGGGAATGGTAATACCCCAGAGTTAGGCCAAGCAAAAGAGGAGAAAAGGCTGGGCTAGGATGGTTCTTAGAAAGCATTACAAATTGGTAACTCTGAAAAACTCACAACTGATACATACATTTTTTTAAGCAATAAATACCATTCCTCGCCCCCCACCCTGCCCCTGCCAAGCACTACACTGGATCCAAAAGATCCAAACACCTAGAGGCATCATTTCATATAGTATAGTTTTGCTCTATTAGCCAAATATGTTTCATTTTCATGCAGATACAAATGTTACGTCTCAACGAACTTACTCATGTACTTATTACAGGACAGAAAGAAAAGTCAAATCACGCCCACTAGCCTCTGTCTGCCCAGAAGTTAGAACATTCTCACGATCAACCATAAAATCTACTTACAAGTCCTCTCAGCTGTGTTTAACGGAACAAAAGAAAGGTAAAACATACTCACAGAATGGTGTTTCTAAAAGTCATCCTAATTTGGTCCTGGTTTTTCTAATAACTAAAATCTTTTACCTTACTCTGAGAAAACACACTTACACTTTAGAAATTTGGTGAGATCGTCTACGTATCCTCTATAGGACTCTGGATCAGACACACGGAATGAATAGTCCAACGCAGTCACTGGTTTCGGAAAAACCATAAGCCCTATAAAGAGATAAAAGAAAAAGGAGAAATTAACTGTAGCAAATTCCCTTCTCTCCTTCCTTCTCCTTCCTCATCTCTGAAAGGCAGATCTCAGTAAATTACATGGAAAGTTGTATTCACAGGGATGCCGAAATGATCAGAACTTCCCACTTCTGATTGTGAAGGCACATCCAAAACGAAAGAGAATCCCCAATCTTCAAAATCACCGCATGCATGACCAGTCAGAAACCTCCCCTGAGTATCGACAGTTAATTAGAAGCGCTCGGTTCCCGACTTAAAAAGATGCAAGTTTTACTTCGTACTTTCCAGAATCATTTTTCTAGCAAATATGGTTAGATTTTGCCAATCTGCTATTAACAGAGGGAGAAAAATTATAGCAAATCAAAGTCTAAAAGCACGTTATCATTCAAATTATAACTGTATGGAAACATTCACAAAGTAAGCCTACCTTATTCAATGAAAGAGGCCTAGACAATTTCGACTCTATGGTTAAATATTCTTCCTTCAATAATAAACACTGCTCTATAATAAAATGTGATTTTTCACATACTGCATTTGGAGTATGACCACCAACAATTTCACACCAGGAGTCAACACTCATGTATACAGAACATGTTGTGTGAGTTAGTTAACAGAAACCACTAGCATATTTATCTGTATGAAACATAATCTGGCTTCCAACTTTAATATATGCTTTCCTTGTTTAAAAAGCATTGGATCTAGATTATTAATTCAGCCTTGCATAGAGGCTTAAAAACAATCCTAAAATTCTCAATAGTCTCTAAACCTTTTCCATATCAAAGTTATCAGAGATGATATGCCTTGCATTGAACTTGAAAATAGACAAATATAAGTGTTTTAGTTTTCATTAAAATCGCTGCTCACAGACATCTAATTTTTTTTCAATCAGATCCAGTTTCTTTCAAACCCAAGACCTGCCCATGTTGATCTGCATGGCTCCTGAGTTAAACTAAATCCCATGCTACCCCAATATGATGAAAAAATGTTCCTAAATGGCAGGGCACATCTTATTCTACATGCAGCACAAGACAGCCCCCGATTATACTCCCCATTCAGGCATATCAATACAACAGCTCACTGGGATTAGCCCATATGAGGAGCCCATTCTTCCTTACCACTCTACCCACTGCAAAATCAAGCAATAGCAGGGGCCGGCCCAGTGGCATAGGAATTAAGCATGTGCTCTACTCCAGTGGCCCGGGGTTCACAGGTTTGGATCCCAGGCACAGACCTACACACTGCTCATCAAGCCATGCTGTGGCAGTGTCCCACGTATAAAACAGAGGAAGACTGGCAACAGATGATAACTCAGGGCCAATCTTCCTCATGCAAAGAAAGAGAGAGAGAGAGAGAGAGAAAACAACAATAGTAACCTTATGATTTTTAATAAAAGTATTTAACGTAGGAATAAAGCCTCCAACCATCTGTCTATGTCTGAAATTGTTTAAGGTTTTTTTTTTTTTTTTAAAGACTGGCATCTGAGCTAACATCTGTTGCCAATCTTCTTTTCTTTTAAATTTCTGTTTCTTCTTCTCCCCAAAGCCCCCCTGGTACCAGCTCCCTGGTACATAGTTGTGTATTTTTAGTTATAGGTCCTTCTGGCTCTGCTATGTGGGATGCCGCCTCAGCATGGCTTCATGAGCGGTGCTAGGTCCCTGCTCAGGATCTGAATTGGTGAAACCCTGGCTGACAAAGGGAGCGTGCAAACGTAACCACTTGGCAACGGGGCCCACACCTGTTTTTAAAGTTTTATAGCGGAAATAAGACATAATATTCTGCAAGTAAAAAAAGTAACAGAATCAAGGCAGCATGGATATTACTGTACGAAAACACCCAACTTTAAAGAAAACCCAACATAAAACATCCAAATTTCTAAACTGAAGCAATTTTAGAGAAAAACATGAATATATCTGTGCTTTTTAAAAAGATTCCATTCCTTTACATGACTAATTTCTAAACGATTCAATTTGCAAAAGCTTTGTATTAAAACCTGAACGTATAAAACTGAATTTCTGATCCGGTCGCTTCCTAGATCTCGCCTAGCAGTGCTCTTGGAGCCCTAGTACCTGCTATTTCATAGCCTGTCTGAAACTCTCACGTAAGAAAACTATGGCAGGAATGAGCATCACGGCTGCACTGCTGACACAATACACTCAATTCCTCCAAATTAAGTCTGGGCTTTCCCCAAAACCGAGAACAGCAATAGAATGTGAATGCTACAATAACTCTCATCTCCTTCCAGTTTATACCACTGAGGCACAAGAGCGTGTGCACACGCGTGTGTGTGCGTGCATGCTTGTAGGGGTGTGGATGGGCAGTATGTGCTTATGATATATGGATGTACATGTTAATATACATATCAATTTCAGACTAGCATTTATCTTAAGGGTACAAATATATTGTGGAAATGATGTCATTTAAAATTAAAACTAATATGGTCATTTTAAAAGAAAAACCTGAGAAAACACAAGTAGAAAGAAAAGATTACCCATAATCCCTTTAGGAAGAGAAATTCACATTTAACAAACTAATGTATATTCATCTAGTATTATATACATGTGTGTGCATACATGTCTATATATATTTATTTAAACTAATGATAGGATTTTTAAGTACTACAATACACTTGGTAAATAATTTTAAGGAACTCAGTTTAAAATTGTGTACTTAAATACATGGAACACATTTTAATTCTTACGTTATTCATGCAATTATAAACAGAGTTGATTATTTCTGAAATAGATCAGATCATGTCTAATGGTAATAACATCACAAAACTTAGGCAGCAAGGAAAACAATTATCAAGGCAGGCCCCGTGGCCGAGAGGTTAAGTTCGTGCCCTCTGCTTTGGCGGCCCAGGGTTTCGCCGGTTCAGATCCTGGGCCCGGACATGGGACCGCTCATCAGGCCATGCCGAGGTGGCATCCCACATGCCACAACTGGAAGGACCCACAACTAAAAATACACAACTATGTACCAGGGAGCTTTGGGGAGAAAAAGGAAAAATAAAATCTTTTTAAAAAAAAAAAGAAAGAAAAACAATTATCTTAGAATTAGTCTGGGTAGAAACAATACAGAGCCACAATGAAACAAAAGACGAGGGAAAAATCAGCATGTAGCCAGTCTCTGATACTTGGTCAAACACTAAAAGTTACTCCTGAAGCTTAGACAAATATTAACTGCAAACAAAGGAAAAGCCATTAGAACAAACTGTTCTAAGAAAAACGGTTGGGGAAATTGGTGCAGTTTGGCTGCTGATGCGGCTCCCAAGTCCTCAGGCTTGGCACGCCTGATACCTGGGACTGGATGACTCTTTGTTGCAGGGACTTGTCCTGAGCACTGCAGGATGCTCAGCAACATCCCTGACCTCTCCTCACAGTAGCTCCTCTCCAGTTGTAACCAAAAACGGCTCCAGACACTGCTGAATAGCCCCTGGGGGACATGTCACCGCTGGGTGAGAACCACTGCTCCAGAAAGAAACCCCTGCTCCACCCCCACCTTCCCTGGCCTGCCTCCCACTCTGCCTGCTAGCCAGTCCCACTCCTCCAGGGAGAGCCCTCCCCTCTCTAGCATCTCGACAAGCCGTTCCCATTTCGGGAATTATATACACTGGGGTTCTGCACATTACTGTTATCTGACTTGTACAAAAACTGCCAGCACTGTGAGGACAAGGGCCTTGTCCAATAATGAAGGCAGAGCTGGCATTCAAAGACTGACTGTTTAAAAAGAATATAATCAGGAGGTAGAAAATGATTTAAACAAGTGTTTCAGTTAAGATTTTTCTGTACTAAAGTATATTCTCCAGTGTCCTGAAGATATTTTTTTTCCTTAAGACAATCAATAGAGAAGAATTAAACATACTAAGAATATACTCACTTTATTCTCTATTGACAGATCATTATTTAATACCTTACCACTTCCATACTAAGCAATTAAAACCACAAAGCATGTATTTTACAAGACCAATGCTCTAACTCCAGCTAGAGCTGGCTGAAATATACACTGTATCAGTAAATTACTCAGGGCAAAGTGAAACTGCTACACAACATTCATAAATTCATTAACTGTAACTATATTGGTCAAATTTGTCTTCACTATAATTCTCAATATTCATTTCTGCTGACTCCTGGCAAAGGACTCAAGATTTATCAGTCCAGGTCTTTATATCAGTATGTAAATACTAAAGGTCTTTATATCAGTATGTAAATATTGAAGAAACAGAAATCAAAACTTTCACATTACCTAACCTCAAGGTTTAACGATCTTCTGTCTGCTGTATAAAACAGATTTATGGAAGATAAAGTACAACCCAATTTTGTTAAAGGTCATGATAACTGTGACGTAATTACCTGGACTAGGAATCTGGTCACGGTATTTTGGAACTTCATCGTTCAGAGTCTGAAGCATAGCCCACATTGTGAACGAGAAGAGTGCAGCCAGGAAGCCATAAAAGACTAGGTAGAAGAGCAAGATCAAACCTGTGAAAGAAAAGAAAACTTATGAAATTTGGAGAAACACACATACACTGCACATACGTATGCACATACGTGTGCGGCCAGGTTAAAAAAACAAACCAACTATTGCAAGGCTAGGATTCCAAGCTATGCCATGCACACAGCCAAATATATCCATATTCAGAATGACATGAATTTGCCCAAGCAAGGGATATTTCAGCAGGTAGCACCCACCCATCCGTGATCCCCGAATCCTCTCATACTTTCAAGTACAAGTAGGTTCCATAGATCATACTCTAGTTAAAGGTCAGAGCTTTAAAATTCCAGCACATAGGGGAGTGTTTCCCAAAATGGACTTGATGCCCTCTAGAAAGATAAAAGACGATTTCAGGAGGGACAAAACTCCCATATGCACGTGTTCCTTTAAAAGTGGCAAATAGGAAAGAATAGTATATCAACCTCATATTTCACAGACAGTAATTATTTGGATAATTTTAAGTTTTATAAAGTGAGTTGATTTAAAGAATAGCCAGGAAATGTGCAGAGAAGGCAAACCATGAAGATGGGATTCAATGAATAAAGTTTAGAAAACTCCTCTAGTAGAAGGCTCATGCAAAAGTGAGGACAGGACCAGAAACAAGCACCCACTCAAGGGGACTGCCGAAGCCTACTGCTAAGCACAAAGCAGGAGCTGGCCGACCACATGTCAACATCCAGAGCCTAACTTAACCTTTTTTCCCTCACAATCTGGAAACACTAAGATCCATCCCAAGCTAGGATTTATTTTGGGAACATCAAAAATCAATTATTTTTTTCAAATGTCTATATTCAAAGTTCTAACATTAGAAGTGGAAGATTACATATTAGAAATATACTGTTAAAGTCATACTTGTATTTAAATGTTTAAAAATTGATCAAAGAATATTAAACAAATCTCCAGACACAGCAATAGTGAAGAACATTTAATTTCCCAGAGTTGAATCAACATCAGCTTTATTTCCCAGTCTTAAAAAATCTACTTTTATGTTTGCCTGACTCTATTCCTAGCAGAGTGGCTGGAGCAGGGGTTCCTAACCTGGAATCTATGGACCCCTGCTGCAGTAAGGATTAACTGCAGAGCTTTCAAGACTTCTGCAATAACATATTTCTGAATATATCCCTTTTTATTTTTTACTGGGGAGCGGGCTCTACAATGTTCTTCTGATTCTCAAAAGATCCTACCACCTCAAAACAGATTGCGCCGAAAGCTAGATAACTTTTATTTCTTAATTACGAGCCAGGAAACTATTTCCCCCCTTTTCAAGTAAAGGGGAAATAGATAAAGCAATTTCATTTTAATTTAGTTCAGCATAGCCCCATCCTCCCCCCACCCCAATTACCAGGAGGCCAAAATAGGGAGGAAGAGGACAGAATGAAGACAGGAGGACAGCATGTCACCTTCAGACAGCATCACTTCCCTACCACATACGGCAATTCTGTTGCAGAAAAAGAAAAGAAAGACCAATCTCAAAGAAGTGATCAGTTTACTACAGAGGGAAAGAAACATGCAAAGACCAAAGGCTCATTTAACGAGATACAGGAGAGAACTGATTCTTTCAGATTCAGACTTTTGTAGGAACTAATGGATAAAATGCTGCACACAGCAGACCAGGGTCGACAAATACATGAACGTAAGGGTGTGGGCTGTGCTCCAGTCAAACTCCACTTACAAAAACAGGTGGACTGGGGCCATAGCAGTTTATCAACCGATGCAGTAAATGTTAAACTGAAGAAATTTGAAACAAAAGTGCTGAGAGTTTAATTATTTAGCTGTGTTTGTAAGTCATCTCAAAATATTATTGGGCCGGCCCCGTGGCGTAGTGGTTGAGTTCGGCATGTTCTGCTTTGGCGGCCAGGGCTCCCAGGTTGGGATCCCAGGTGCAGACCTACACCACTGTCAGCCACACTGTGGCAGCAACCTCCATACCAAGGAGAGGAAGACTGGCACAGTGTGAGCCTAGAGCTGATCTTCCTCAAGCCAAAAACATTTTTTAAAATTCTTATACCATTTTCAAAATTTGACTTTAAATTTCCAGGAAAAATAATGTAAATAGAACTTATAAAAAGTTACAAAGCAAATAAACATATAACAGACATGAACAAGGTGTATCCAAATACACTTTCCAAAGAACCATTACACAATGAAAAAAGTGTCAAAACTCCCTCTAGAGAGCTACACTCATAAAACAGACACACAAATTAATAGCCGTGTCCCAAATGTGATGCCACATACTAGTGGCCATTAAGTCAATTTTTAATGTAGGGAGTATAAAAACAAGTAAATAAGTGATTTCCAGCACTGAAATGAGTTTTTCCTACTTGTATGAGACACTTTTGCCAAAACCCAAATGTAAAAATTAAAGTTAACCTCACTTATAAATATCATATATGAAAGACCACTCACAAGGGTAGCAATATCAGAAGATAAAAACGGATGTTTACTCAAAACAAATACCCGAAAGTTCACTGCTGTCACTGACATTCCTGCATCACCATGTTGCCATCCTAACCACCCAGAAGCACAACCGTCGCTACGGCCACACTTTCCCTCTCAGATCCCAGGGCACAGACAGAGCAACGGCCAGACACCTCCAACCTTCTGCCCTCCTTAACATAGAAACTGACTCTCCTCCTCTCTCTCCAGTTCTGTTCCTTGAGAAGCCCCAGCATGTAGACTCTTTCCCTCCCTCTTGTGTCTTCCTGGTGAGGGGACACGTGGCGGGACAGACGTGGTGAAGGCCGTGCAGCAGGCTGGTTTTCCACACGGGCTCCGCTCCAGTGCCAGCCTGACTGCTCTCCCGCTGTGACCTGGGCAGGGATCCCAATCTACTCCCGCCTGAAGAAAGGGGTAATAGTCGTACCCACCTAATTATCCACATTATAGAAACGAAAATAAAAGTCAAGAGATTTGATGACAAAACTCTTCAGGGGGGAAAAAATGCCAAAAACAAACCAGAAACATTTCTGAAATGACACTGCAACTAAGCTTTAAGGCTAAACTTAAGGTTTAAAGCTTAATCAATTGCATTTTACTCTCAAAAAATGTTTTCACAAATGAGGTTTGATTCATGCGGACTCTATAAAAGAAATTAAGCAGCAAGAAAGCTGACCATGGTTTCACCCAAAGGAGAAATGGGTCCTGTCCAGCCACTATGTTTCAACCTCAACTAGCTGTCTGACAATTCAGTTCCGGCACCAACCACCTGGAGCAGCCGACTCCACTATTAGTGTTAGGGCTCCGTCCTCCACAAGAATGCCCTTACTTCAGATGCCACCCAAACTTCTGACCAACGGGATACCAATCTGGGAGGTTCCCATTGCCCCCTCTGGTTTGATAATCCACTAGAATGACTCAGGACTCAGCAAAGAGCTATACTTAGGATTACAGTTTTGTTATAAAGGATTGTGAAATCTGATAAACAGAAACCTCCCTTAAAATGAAGTTGGCAGGCCAGAAGGGGGAGCTCTCACGCCCCATGACGATGGCAGAACCCAACAGGAAGAAGAAAAACTTTGTCTTCTTAAACAGGAGTTCAGCCAACGAGAGACAGTCACAACTCAGCCAATGAAAAGCACTCTACTTGGAACTCTCAATTCCTCCAATGGACTGTTCACAACGGCCCTCCCCACTTCCTCTTCCCTTCTTTGGAAGCTTCTCCTACCCTTGTTCCTCGGAACTTGCACGTGGCTTGCTATGGCTGCAGATCCTGTAAGGCAATTCTTTGTTGATCCCAAGTAAACTCATTTTGCTGGAGAAATAACTGGCTGTCTATTTGTTTAAGGTCAAGAGGACACACACAGGGTGGGGTCTGGGAGGGAATGCAGTTTCTACGCCCTCTCTGGTGGAATGAAGGCACATCACCCTCCAGCACATCAATGTGGTCCCCACCCTGGAAGCTCCACTAAGCTTCAGTGTCTAGAGTTTTTATTGGGGTTTCATTACATAGGAATGGTGAAATCATTGGCCACATGATTGAGCTCAATGTTGAGCCCTCTAATCACATGAGTGGTCTTTCTGGGGACCAGCCCCCATGGAAGCCATCTAGGGGCCCACCAGGAGTCACTATTAGCATAATAAAGACACTCCTATCACTCAGGAAACTCCAAGGGTTTTTAGAAGCTCTGTGCCAGGAACCTGGGACAAAAACCACCCAAATTCTTTATAACACCAGCACACAATACAGGCACAGGGCAGTCATTAGGCTTCGAGGCCTGGACATACACATCCACTCAGCACACTCCAAGATCCTGTGATCTGACTCCCTACTCTCACAAACTTCCTAATTACCTGAGGGTACCAAGATACTAGAAAGACTGTGCCTCTCCTCAGAGAACTCTGACTAGAAACTACTTTCCCTTGGTAAATAAATTAGCATTCTTACAGTTTAAAAAATTCAACGCAGAGGCAGGCATAAATTTTTTAAAAACTCAATTTTATATAGACAAGTACAAGCTTAAAATCCTTTGTATATCTGAATTTTTAAAACTTTTTTTTTTTTTGAGGAGAAGGATGAGCCCTGAGCTAACATCTGCTGCCAATCCTCTTCTTTTTGCTGAGGAAGACTGGCCCTGAGCCTACATCCATGCCCATCTTCCTCCACTTTATATGTGGGACGCCTACTACAGCATGGCTTGCTGAGCAGTGCCATGTCTGCACCCAGGATCTGAACTGGCAAACCCCGGGCCACTGAAGTGGAATGTGCAGACTTAACCACTGTGCCACTGGGCTAGCCCTAAAAGTAACTTTTTATTGAGGTATAATTTACACTACATTCATCTATGAACGGAATTGCTAGGTCATATGGGTAACACCATGTTTAGCCTTTTGGGTGAGTGCCAGATCGTTTTACCAAAGCAGCTGTACCATTCTACATTCCCAGCGGCAGGGTTCCAATTTCTCCACATGCTCATCAACACTTCTTATTGTCTTTTTATACAGCCATCCCAGTGGGTGTGAAGTGGTATCCCACTGTGGGTTTAAGTTG